TCAATGCTGGTTGGCGATTTCAAACTTATAACTAGAAATTATAAGATTATGTCAATCTCGTACATAAATTCTGTTCATTTTTATTGGAGGGCACGGGATAATTTCGTTAAATATAGGTTAATCATAAAATAGTCACAACAATCAAAACATGCTTAGACGTTTTGTATATGGGGTGAAGTAGGGAATTGTGTTGTTCAAGTGTGAAAACAAGAGGTTTAATAAAAACCTAGTTGTTTATAAAAGGGTTATTAATAATAATTAATTTCATTTTAATATCCGCCTGGTAGATTAATTTAAAACATTTTTTTTAAGGGGGGAAAATCATCGAAATTTAAAACATAAGACACGTATTATCTCTTTACTCACAAAATTAAATGTGACGGTGTGACGTCACAACGTGCTACATTTTGCAGCACTTTGTGACGTAACGAGCTCCTGCTCCTAAACTTAACTCCATTTTATCAAAGTATTGTAACTTTGTACGTGAAATAAAAAAATACATGTCTAATATTTTTTCATTATCTAACTGACGGATTAATTAGATTTTTAATTATTATTCCCTGGCAACTATACCCTATTCTATCTACATACATAATAATCGACGAAAACTATCTATGTACTTCCAAGCGCACAAAAACCCTAAGCTTAAATAATGAGCTAAAATAGAAAGTTCTTTCAAAAAGCATAACTTAAGTAAGAACACAACACCTGTCCCCTACAAGACACAACACACGCCATTGTGTTTTCAAAAACTTGCTATAAATACAAAAAACTTTATTAAATTATGGAAGAACATAGTTAGTTTTTAATGTCAAACTCCAAAACGGGTGCAGTCGAGGGTTGTAGCTAGTTTGTTGTTTGGATATTGTATTAATAATATTAATTGGCCGTGCCTTAGGATACCGGACTTAATTGTGTGTATTCTGTATCGTGGGTAATGATAGAAATTTCTATAGAATTTAACATAACATAACATAAATAGTGAAAAGTGGTTGTTACATTGTACAGTGGCATAATGTGCACCTCTGCCTATCCCTTCGGGGATAAAAGGCCTTTGTAAATAATGTAACACCCACTTTTCACTATTTATGTTATGAGTCCCATGTAATAGGAGGTGAGCCTATTGTCATATACCGGGCACAATTCCAGACTCCGTGCTACTACTGAGAATTTTTAAAAAACCCCAGTAATACTTTGCCTGACCCAGGAATCGAACCCGAGACCTCTTGCCCGGCAGTCGTACTTGCGACCACTCGGCCAACGAGGCAGTCTACAGAATTTCTTTCGCGTTATTTCCTTCTGCCTTTCCTTCTGCGGTCTCCGGCTCCTTCTTCACCTCCCATATTTGAAAAGATTCGAGTAATATTTCAAATCCATCAAGTTGTTTCGTGTATTCTTTTTAATTATGGTTATTCATTTTAGCTTTGATTTAACAAAAGGCAACTATATCAAATTGATTTAGATTATTATTAATAATGAATAACAGTTTGTCCTATTTTAAATTTTATCGCAATCGACGTATAATAAGAATCACTTTCTGTATAATAAGAAAACAGATAGATGAACAGAATCATTATTATCATAAAAGAAAACATTTTCATTTCGATTCTCGATACAAAATCGACATTGCAACGTTATACAGCACCATTATACGAATATATCGATCCATTGTATTGTATCACTCGATAACTCTATCCTTCGTCCCACTAATTTGTACTCGAGTAATGCATCGATTGTGAACAAAATAAACCCTCGCGAGTTGCGACAAATAAGTGTGGGTTTCGTACGATTATTAAAAGATCTCGAGTAACAAGGAGTCGTGAAATGTTTGAAATTGAATAAATGGAGGAGGCATTTTTACTTGGATGACCACTAAAACGAAATTGTTCGTGTTTAGTATTAGCATTTGCTACGTAGTTAAAAATCTATATTATTATTTATTGAAAGTTTCACACTATGATTTTATTATGCGTATGATCGAAGCTATATTAGTTACGTAAATAACCTATAAACCGTTTTTATAACAACTTATCGTGTAAGTAGTAATTTACTAAGTACACATAATTATATGGACACCGTTTGACGCCAACGCGTATGCGATTTCATAGAAACTAATTCATTATGTCAGTCTTTTACAATGTTCGTGCCGTCGAATCAATTTGTATAGACGAGACCTGTGCCTGGGGGTTTATTGGCAAATCAAACCTGTATTTAACAGCCATTCCATTTTATGACGTCCTAGTTGCATACAGACATTCATATTTATTTAATAATATTAATATTAAAATCCCACAATTATGTAGCTCGTGTGATTTAATTTTTCCAATTTATTATTGAATATTAAAAAAGATTAAGTATGCAAACGACATTGTAAAACGTAGTTAAAATTAAAAATCAGCCAATTGCTCCGCAGGGGTCGCACACTAAACTATATAATATTGCATAAATAGGCATTTTATATTTATATTAATTAATATATAAACATTTATTCAAACAATTATATCAAAATCTACATGTATAATTGAAGATAACATAACAGGGAGGCTATTAAATTATTTATTGACGTACATCTCGGGTCATTATATTTATATTTTGTCGCCTTATTAGTCTTGGTTGCATAAATATCAATGTTTATGATGATGATAGTAAATAACCCAATTATATTAGGAGTCAAGTTAGACATGAACAAATAATATTTCCATATTAAAAGATATAAATAAGTCGTTTATATACACTAGAATACAGTTTTGGTATTTTGTCGTTAATTTTAATATAAATATAGCATCAAGTTTTTGGTATATACTACACCCACTTTTCGCACTTTGGTTACAAAGTATATACCAGTACTAATGGACTAACAGTTAATATATATAATAAATTGGAGTTATATATCTTAAATCAGTTTATCAAACTATTCAATAACTAAAAAGAGTAGGGTCAATTTATTTCCAATAAGGGATCCAATTTATTTTCATATAATATAGGCATTCATGTATAACGCTTTTTAGGAAAACTGCGATTGATATTAAATAGTGTAATCATTTCATAATCAGCTGGTATAAGGAAACTTATAAAAAGGCTAACACGTGTAAAGACTGTGTTAATTAACGACTATTCATGACGTTAAATAGAACAACACTGTTATTAAATTATTATGATTGAGCAGTCGCTTTATGTGAATGATTACCTACTTGTTTGACATGCATGTTCTTCCCCGAAGTATATGCAGAAGTGCATTGTTGGTTATATTCTAATTAACTGTATTTTTAGTTACCTATACTACTAGGTACTTTATTCATACCTATATTATTACATGTTGTGTTGGTTATTGTTGACAATTTTGAAATTAATAAGCTGTTTTAATTAATAAGAATTTATGGTTCGGGATTTGAGTTCAACACCTTGTTCGTACGTTTAGTAGTCGTAGGTAAATTTATTGGGTAATGTCAATTTTGAGTTTTATTTTTTTTTTAAGGAGGGAAAGTCATCGAATGACTTCTCCCGCCTGGGTGAGGCGGGAGGGAGTGTCAGACTCTTACTGACTAAAAACCACCCCGTTCCTTCTCCTGCACGTCGAGCCGGAGCCCCGGCAACCCCTTAGGTTCTCCGCGACTCCGAATCGAGATCGGCCCTGTTGGGCCCCCATCCGTGGTGGTCTAATGGTTTTTTGAGGCGCGCTTAGAAAGCCTTTTACATGCAATTTTAACATTTTATTAGACATATAAAAATTAGTTTTCTAATTTTATTATTAAAAACAAGTTGTTATGTTCAATGTCCTTATCTAACTTTTGTGCAATAGGTACAGTTTGTACAAGTAGTAATTTGCCGCATCCGACTAAGAACGCAGTGCGATTCCTGACTCGACGTCCAAAGTAGTTTATTATAGTTATCACTGCAGTCATTTCTGTGTCTCATTCGATTCGGTCTGGTCTGATTGAGGGTTGCACGACAGGTCCTTGAAACTACGGGAATTAGTGGTTTCAGATCGAAAGGGCAATGCGAATCGACTCCAGCTTGTGATTAAAAGACGATAAATTAATATTATGTTATGAATATCCACGATATTATTAATGTTTGCATTTTGATCGCCTTTATGGTCGACTGATTTAGTTTGAGATCTCGCGTCCGATTCCGGATAAGCATTTTTTGGTCAATTTTCGTACTCTTTGTAAGGAGATTGGACCTAAGTAAGACTTTAGGAAGTAGTGGCTGATGATGATGACGCCTTCTATACAATTTGATGCATGAAATTCAACTGGTGAACTGTAGACTACATAGAACAATGTAACCTCTATGATGAATGATATATTTAAGTAAGTATGTTAAGTTTATACTGGTATATTTTGTGCAGTAAATTGGCTTAGGCTAGCGAGGCAGTTGCACAATGCGCTTACAAACAATAAGTCTAGAACAGCTGTTTAATGCCGCTACAAGTCTATGTTTATAAAACTGATTATAATTATCTAGACGGTGATTGGAGTAATATATTCTTAGCTCGCCTTGGGCAGCAGGTGTAAACTAATGAAGTGGAAACAAGCCTTAGATTCTACTCGCAATACACATCAAGCTGCGCAAAACCAGTATAAACTGACCGTCAAATGCGCGGAAAGATCATACAAAGCGAGATCACGGTTAATTGGTTTCGTATCGACGTGTAATAGTGTGTATCTAGATATTATCCAGAATGTTCTATGAACATTTGTAACGGTTTTTATTTACGGTCCGATAATGGTTGTTGACTAATTTTCCTTAATTTTCTGTAATTTTTTAATTGGTTGTATTTTCCTTAAGTACTTGTATTGAATGGCTTGTCAATTATTAGTATTTATGGCTTATTGAGTTTATTTATGGAAGTATAGAAGTGCAAGTATAATAATTAGGGTCATCTACCTATTCTATTTAGTAGTTGCAAAAGTATGAGTGATTTTTTAAGAGGAGGTCGAAGTTTTAAGAACTTACCCAAAGGAGAAAAAATAAAATTAAGTATAACGATTTCTTACCTGTATTCTTGCCTCCGTTAGGCCGATTTTCATAGCCAGCTCCTCTCTGAAAAGTAATAAAAATATTGATTAAGCATCAGTGGAATAAATGAAATTAAAATAATATTCTTTCAAGACATTCAACTTTAAAAAATGTATTACATTTTTAATATTACAATCTTGTAGTAAATTATTTTATTTAACAGAAAAGGCATTTAAAAGATAATTAATTGTTACTTTATTCGTTGCTGCACCCTGTATAATTTGTAATGTCAACTTCAATGGCGGTGCCGTTGACAGATGTCATTTTTTCCCGCCATTCCATAGACAATAAAAGAAAACAAACAGTATTTACTATCTTGTTTAATCCGCGAACAATTTATTTGTTATCGTGACTGTAGTTACGTAACGTGCACGTAAATAACTCAAGATAAAAGGTTGTAAACTTCAATTTAATTTATGACGGATTAAGATAATCCTAGCAATTAATTTGCTATAGAAGTTAACAGACGTTAAGCGGCCATTTTATCACTATTATCCTATTATGAAATGAGGAAGAGTCGGATTATTTGATTGATAAACGTTTGATAAGTACTGAAATGGATTTCACCGCGTCTTTGGGATTTCATTCAAGAAATTACTAAGCATGCATTAGTAGGATTAAGATTACATTATGATTAATCGCTGAGTGTTTTTAATTCAAATAAAAATTAGCAACACTTATTCATGGAAGTATAAACACTTAGTTGATAAACATAAGTGGCGAGGTTGTAACTCTTCTGATTGCTTACAATCAGATGACCTGTCTGGTCGTTTGCCAGAAAAAATTTAAAAGAGCAATAAAAAAACATTCCAACTGACCTCGTAAAGACATCAGGATAATGTGTCCTCGAGAAAGCTTTCTCCAATTCTTCAAGCTGAAAACTGGTGAACGTGGTTCTATATCTCCTTTGCTTCCTTTTTGGTGCGAACTCATCAGCATCATCACTATCTGCGGATCCTGGAGGTGGGCGCTCTGAGGGGGATTGATCAGCTCGCGACAACTCGGGGGTCGTCCGAGGAGAATCATCTTTAGGGGCTTCCGACACCCCCATTGAGGCAGCGTACTTTTGGTACTCTTGGCTTTGGGTGAAGTAATCTGGAAAAGAAGAAAGAAGTTATTAAATAAAATTGATCTTGATTGTTATTTTAAGCTATTATTAGGTAATTAGCTGACCGCCTCGAAGACAAACGATTGTAGCACAAGATTTGAACATATTTTTTCTACAAGAAAATTTAATCTTAAGTAAACTACGATTAGATATAAGATCATAAGCTTGTATGCCATAAAATGGAGGGGATGAGTACGACATATTACTTTATCCCTTCTTCAATATACCGGAACAATACAATTCTTAGTCATAACACATTTACTTATCTAAAACAAATATGTCTGACTAATAAAATTCTAACGAGATTAGCAGTTTACTATATCGTAATAAATTAATATCAATCTCTTATATTTGTTATCTTTAAATAACAAATAAAATCATGTGTTAGCTTTGTAAGTTAGTTTTTATCTACATATTTTATACTTAAGTACTTTTTGCGTATGTTTACTATATTTATTCCATATACAAATTTTTATGAATTAATAAAAATAATTAGAGTAATTTTAATGCGATCGTAAAACCTGATAATATGTTACAAGACCATAGACTCAGACCCTCGTTTGCGACATACATCAAAAATTAAAAAATAAACGTCAAATTGTCAATTCCTATGTATTTATAGCCGCTAATGTCTTAATAAGGGGGAAATTAACTATTATTAGGAATTATAACCTAACCTAGAAAACTGCCAGTATCATAACATACGTCTCACTTAAACTGTCAAGCGAAAAAATATTGACAACTGAGTTGGTATGGAGTTCTTGGCTGTCAAAGTTTTTTTTTAAATAATAGACTAGGTTGCAATTGTTTTTTTGTGTATTAACTAAGGCATGTTGTGAATAAGTCCTAACGTATTTATTTAGTTTGACTGCCTTATTGGCCGAGGTCTCACAAGTGCGAGCTTAGTAATTAAGTTCTACGAGGTTTGCAGTTCAATTCACGAGTCAGTACATATTCAGATGTCTTATTTATTTTAAAGTTCTCAATGATCACAATATTTTTGGATTTAGATTTGTTAAAATCATGCATTCTTTAACGACCAAGCGGTTGCCGCTGCCGCTGGATGTTGGCTGCTTTCAAGCAGCCTATTCAGAATTTATTTGGAGTGGCTTTGAGTATTTTTTTTTATTAGGACAAGCCCGCCACAACCTCCCAAATCCATTGTAAATTCTGTAAGTAAAGGATTTACTTACAGTAGATACAACTGTAAAAACACAAGAATACTGAAATCCGGCGCGTCCTAAATGGATGGATACTTAATGGAGGAGGAGAAAAAGCGAAAGTTTTCACTTCAATCTTTAATATATGGACGTCCTGTGGCTCATGATGAACAAGCATCGTTTTACAAATTATATTTAGAAACAGAACTGATTAAAAGTAGGTGTAACTTTGCCAACCACTGGGGCGTTGTAGGGTGACGTCATAAATTACATTAACGTAGTTAATTGGTGGATATTCTCAAATGAGGTAATTAATTCAATATAATAGATTGATCAGCTTTTAACAGTGAATCAGCGAATTATGAATTCGTTTGTAATTGTTCGATAAGCTGATTTTTAAGAATTGTGAAATCAATTGTAGCGCGTTTTAGACTTATTATACTAGCTACTTCTGCGCCGTTGCACCCCCTCTGCTCGGCGTCTATTGATCGTAGCGTGATGTTTTGTAGCCCATAACCTTCCTTGACTATCCAACACAAAAATAATTATTGAAATCGGACCCGTAGTTCCGGAGATAATCGCGTTCAAACAAACAATCAAACATACAAACTCAACAACACTCAAACTTCAGCTTTATGTAGTGGTATAAGATTTCAAAGTTCTTTTTGAGGTTAACAATATAAAGAAGATCTTTAGATAAATAGTTATGTTATGCAACTCATATTTCCAAATAAGTTTAGGTTGTAGCTAAAAACTGATCATATTTTACATATAAATATGGTAGGTAACACACAACCAGAATACAACTTAAATATTAAATAAAAATGTGAAGCATTCAGACAACCAACATTACGGTTCCAACATGTAAAATTCCTAAGTAAAAGTAACATTACAATTCCAACGAGTTAATAAAATACCTTTTATAGAATAAGAATATGAAAAAAAGTAAAAAAAAGTAAGTAAGAATCATAATTGTTTATGTATTCCAGCCGTTAGCTTGCAAACGCTACCTCGTACGCCAGTCTAGCGTTAGAATCAATTTGTTCGCTAATTACTGGTTGCTTGCTACAAACACTGCGTGTCACGTTCGAAACAAATGCGGCAATGTATCATAAATTACCTTTGCATCAAAGTTGACGTGTTAATCTTTAGCAAAAAGTCAGCTTTGTAGGCAATTTATTTTACTAGTGAGTGATATCGAATTACTTATATGTTTTTGTATGAAAAATGTTAGTTACCTGATTCCATAGTGTAATTTTTTTTGTAGTAATACGTTTGTAGATATCACAAAATAAGTTAGGTGTATAGGAATAAGTTAAAGATATTTTCTAAATTTTCGGACAGTTTCAGACTATACAATCTCAAGTTTTACCGCCATTTATTCAGATTGCGACATTGCGACCACTCTATCATGCAATCATTGCATCCAACTAAAAAGGTTCATTTAAAAAGTTACTCTAGCTAAAACCATAAACACAACCAAAAAAATTCAACAATCAATTTAAAAATAAAAGGTATCTATCGTGATTCGAAGCGATTAACAATAATTCGACCTTAGTTTCTAGTAATCAATTGTGTCATTTAATTCAGTTAATGGCATTAATTGGCCACTGATTATGGTGTTATGTCTATAATTGATCAGTTATTATGGTACACGTAGAGAAACAACACGCTAAATAATTGTTCATAATAATAATTTCCTTCGATCGGTTCATTTTGTTTTTTTTATGTGTAAAGGACCAGCCATGACATTGGCAGTTGCGTTTTCGATTCGCGGTCTAATTTCGTTTGAATTTTGACAGTTGGATTTGGAAGCCTGTTTTTGTATTACGTTTTTGATTTTTTTGATGATGTAATATTATTTGTTATCTATTACATGCTAAACTAAAGTTATGGTTGTAAAAAATTGACTGAAAAAAAATGTTGTGTTTTTGCTTCTCAGTACAATAAAATTAATGTTAACTAATTATGTAGCATTTTAGTTTTCCGATAGATTTGAAAAGTACAGGTACTTATTATATTATTAAGTTAATAAATAATATAACTAAAAACATAAATAGAAACGAAGTAAGTATATCGCGTGTTATAAAATTAACAAATTGCAGAAATAAACTCGCAATTACCGCCGCGTATTCAAGGAAGTGTTTATTTTAATTAAAATAATGAAAACATTTATATTTTAATTATAAAAAGTAATTGTAAGAACAATTACTTTAGCTGGCTTCCTGTGTGATTCGTTTGTCGACTTTGCTAATGTATTTAATGTACATTGTATGATGATTTTACTATTCGAGTAGTTTATGTAGATTCCCGATAAGTGTCGATAACTATTATTTAGCAATTTTCGTAAATGTAAAAAAAGTTAAGTTAAAAATAAAAGTTACGTGATAGTAAGGAAACTGTAAAGACAGTTTACTAATTCGTTGTTCAAATTAAGAAATCCAAGTTCTGCCTTCAATCTCCAACACGTAGTAGATACATAGAAATATTAGATCTAATATTACTATTATAGGAAAATTTTTTTTTGAGATAATTCTGTAATCTAGAATTTTAAAGTAATAGCTGTTAAAAATGCAAAAATCGGAAATCAAATGTTAAAAAAAACAATGTTACATTTTTATCAGACAGTGTGAAAAATCCTTTAAATTTAAATTACACCAAATTATATCCGCAATCTATGCGAAAATAATCTTTTACGTACCAAAATCTGCAGCTTAGCTTTTCGCGTCAATTTTTCAATCACAAAAATTATTAATCACCATTAGACAATGAATAACCACTTGGCAATGACACTTTCACACACAAACACTTCTTTCTTTCCACTTTCCAAACGCTATTCTTTCTTTCCTCGTGGCGCATAGACCGACAGTCTGATTATGAATGAGCCATTACGTTATCGAACGACCCGATTGTTCTATAGATAGATTTTATCATAGAATTGGATTACTAATGTACACAGGTAACTAGTAAATTTATAATTATCTTGTACAGTTAGGTAAAGCGTCGCTCGCCGCGGTTGGGTTATGAATGGGCGGGTAAAGAGATTTGAGTTGTTTGCGATGGAAGTAATATGCGCTGTATGGCACTGATGGTCGCTTTGTGTAGGATTTTTTCAACATTTTCCGGCTAGTTGATGTGAGTTTCAATGTGTTTTGGTTTTCCTTTATCTAAAATAGGAAATCGTTTGTCTAAAATAGGAAAATTTGGTAATTATAGTTATGTATTACACTGTTTTTTTCCGCAATTAGTGTGTAGTTTTGGGTATGTAGTTCAACAAATATGAATATGGTTAGCCTGTCGTGTTATTGTTTAATTTAATTTAGGTAGATTTTCTTTTGATCTAAAAACTTTTTAGTGGCTTTTATCACAGATATTATGTCAGCCGCATCGTACCTCTTTTACATTACTAAACTATTACATTTTCTTTAGGTACTTTAGCTAGAGGATCACTTGATTAATTGTTATTCGTGGACGACCAAAATCAAATAGCACAACTTTTTCATAATCGTTGAAGATAGTACAGATAAAATGGATTGTATAATACCTACATTAAATTTATTTATTTTAAAATCCTTCATTTCGAGATATTTTATACGTAACAGTGAGGTTTCATCTCAGATTTCTTTTTAAATTTTAAGTTCCCAGTCTATAATTTAACCAATTTTAATTGCTTTTAAGATTCTTTATTCATTAATGTGATATCGTTGCTCTGACAGTTATGAGTGAGACTGTCGGCCCAAAAAATGAGCTTCGATTTCGGTTCAAGAGTTGCACTAATACTGGGCTGAAAACATTAAATTTTCGGCTACAGCCGTTAAACCTATCTTA